TCCTTTCCTTCTCTCTACACCCCTCAGCTGAAATAAACTTGAGTGGGTGAGACAGAAAGCATAGCAAAAAATCTCATCTATTTGCAGTGTTACATCACTCACCAATATGTTGTGTTAATGATTTCCTATCTGCCCAGGATATTTAAGGATATTTCCTTAAAGCCAGCCATCAGAAATAACCTTCAGCATCTGTTTCATCTTAATACTGCTAACACATTTCAGTGGAAGTTCTTAAAAAGTACTGTTAATTTCATTAGAGGAAGACGTTGATTTTCGTAAGGCTGACTTTGTTCTCCCAAATATTGTTATCTAAGGAATTTTAAAAAGCACTCAATACAGTAGCTTTGCATTGAGGTATGCTAATGTTCCTACACTACCTTCCAAGCAAGAGTGATAAGGAAGGAAATAACCCAGTGATTGGTCTACATATTGCACGTAGTGTGGTAAACTTAAGATCGCTATTCTTCACGTATTAGTTTATGTTAAACCACATCCATTCAGCAGTAATTTATTCACAGCTGTAGTGAAGCTGGGATTTTTTTTTTTTCTCAGTGGTGCCTGCCATTTCAAGTGTTCCCTCTCAGGGCTTGTTCCAGGCAAGGTACAGCTCGCTTTGCTAGTAGAGAGCGTAACCTTGGGGTGAGAGTGATTGATCACTTGGGGATGCTTTAAAGTGTGTGGGTGAGTTATTTAACAACAGAAATTTCCTGAACGTTAAAGCCTCCAGTATTTTCTATTGCTAGAGCTAGTTCTTTGTTACCCATTGTACAAATGTCTCTAATCCTAATGCTCCTGATTATCCTTACTGTGCTTTTGGTTCATACCAAAAGCACAGTAAGTGCTTGGAGCTCGTGACCTGGGTTCCTTTCAGAGGAACTAAATTGGAAGATGTGTTCCAACTGCAAATGAGCATGCAGTCCATGGGACCAAACTCGAGCTAGCAATGCGCGTTTCAAGAAAAGCAAATGCTGAAATACCCAAAATGTTGTCATCAAGTCCTCTGTGCTGTTTTTCCCTGCAAGTGTTTCACTCAGTCTAGCCATAGCCTCTTTGAGTTTGAGACTACCTTATTCTCACTTAAGGCACTCAATTGTCTATTCATGATGGAGACACCAGTGGGACTGGGAAGAGAAGTTGGGGATGGAAAAAGAGGTGCTCATGCTAGAGAAGCAGGATGAGCCTTCACAGTGAGTTTTCCTTCTTTCATCATGATCTCAGAGGAAAATGCAAACAGTATGCTGTAAGTTAAGGAATGTTGGCCCTTGTTCTTTGCTGTCTCTTTAGTAGAGGAGGGGTCCTGTTCACTCCTTCAGCTCTCTGCACGGTAGCCAAAGGTGGCACTTGCTAAGGGGAAGCAGGACCATGACAAGCTCTTCTGTCCTTGTTGGGGACACATGGCTCTCTCTGCATTATGCATAGCTAGCTTTGCCAAAGTTCAGCAGGCAGAGGCTAACTACTGTAGTGAGTTTCAATTGGGATGTTACCATAGCATCCTGGGACTTTCACAATCTATTTAGAAGTCCAAAGGTTTGAAAAGGGTGCTTGAAAGTTTCTGAACTCTGGCAAGTTGCCGAAATGTAATTACACAAAAGACAAAGCCCCAGTGAAAGCAGCTCTGTTTGGAGAAGCAGCACCTGAGTGCTAGAGTTCCCAGCAGGGCCATTTCTGAGGGCTGGAGCTGTTTTATCACAGTCTCTTCTCAAAACTGTTTTCTTCCTCTCCTGTGCCTGTGTAGTCCCACAAGTGCAGACAAGATGTGCTGCAAGGTGCAGCTTTCTCAGCAGTGCTATTGGAAGGGATGCAGTGCTGTGGTTTGGCTGCTCTAGGGCTTGTGAGGATAAAGAGTGACAAAGCAAGACCTTGAAGTCTCGACTGCAGAAACTTCTTTAGAGTTTCCAACTGAGCAACGACTTCTGCTCTATTTCTTTCTCATCTTTCTCCAGAATGTCCTTTTAGTGAATGAGGGAAGCTGTTTGGCTAATGGAGTACCAGTCAGGTAGCAATTCCTGTGTGAAATATGAGTGTTGTAATGAACTGAGGTTACCTAAGGAACATTTCGTTCAACTTCTAGTCTCAGCTTCTGCAAGACAAATAAAATCATGTCATTAGTAACTTTTGTTAATGTTCTGATTTGCCTGTGCTGTTTCCTGGTAACAGAAGACCAAGGCAACCATTAGGTCTGTAGCAGGAGGCTTTGAAACCTTCAGCCTTGTTAAAAGGTTTCTCTGCCAAGGACCACAGTAAAACCTGAAGGGGGGAAAGGAGAAGTTAATCAGATAAATGAGAAGGGTTTTTTTCTGCTTTTGCTTCTAGGTTTACAGACCTGCTTTTATCTGAATGAGGACAAATTGATAGTGTGTTAAGATGCTCTAGTTTGGTCGTAAGTCTTTCTCCTGCACAAATGCACTGCTAAGCTCTGGCCACTTGACTTTGCAAAGGGAATGAATTTTTCAGTGGGAGGAAGGCAGGGGGAAGACTGAGCAATCCTAAAGGAGGAATCTCAGCAGCTGTTAAACTTGCTGAGAAAGTCGGAACTGTTTGTTGCCTTGCTGTCGTTATCTTGCTTACTTAAGCTGTTCCTCTGGAGCGGTAGCTTGTTTTATTTCAAAAGAAACTGGAAAAGACATCCCTGCAAGCATTTATAAAAATATAGGTAATGTGATGGTCATACCACGTACATGCAGTTGTAATAACTGCTAGAGTTTTTGGTAGTCTTTTTCTTTTTTCTAGGGTTTACCTGCAGATCACTTCTACTAGCCATTTTCATGGTAGTTTTAGAGCCATCCCATGCTGAAAACATGAGTGATTTGAGTTTTCATTTTATTAGGGCTAAGAAGCAAGATATTAGTGCTGTCTCCTGCGAGTTAATAGTATGTTAGCTTCATGTTTGAACCTTTCCATCATAGATGTGCCAGGATTTGCTTCCAGATAGTGCAGGTACTGTAGTTCTTCTGAGCAACATAATTCAGGTGCATTTAGATGTCTCACTGTACCGCTAACCCTCCTCATTTCTTTCTCAGATTTAAACTACTCTGAGTATCCTGCAGTTCTGTGATTCTTTCTGACTCCCTCAGCGGTCTAAACAAGCGTACTCTTGCCTTCATCTTCTTTCTTTTCCTATAAACGTCCCTTGTATGTGTCATCTTTTTGAATGCTGCCTTCTCCAATTATACAAAGTTTCTTCATTTTCTCATTTATATCCCTCGTTCTTCCATCAGCCTGACAAATCATCAGTAAAACATTGCAAATAAGAAATGAAAAAAGTCTTACAGGCTTGGTTTGGTTTGGGGTGAGAAGAACTGAAATCCCATTTCCAGCTTTGTCACAGTCATCTTGTGTTAAATCATGTTACTTTCCCATACTCTGTACTCATTCCCTCTGAAGCAGTGAGCTAGAGCACTTTGTAATGAATACTGTTCACTTACAATGAGAGTCATGGAAGCCTTTCCTCTCATTGGTTGTATTTCGATCAGGCAGAGCGTATACGTACTAAGGTCTGCTGGTACAGTGACTGTGCTTTTCTCTGACTTGCACAGCACTGGTTTCATAAATATGAAATAATTTGTTTATTCATTATGTTTACAGAAGGAGTACTTCTAACTCCAAACTTCAAAGATCATGTGTGTTTCTTAATCATAATGTGATTGTTTGTACTTATTTTGCATGAATTTCCTTCAGAACAGGTGGGCTAGAATCGGTGCTTTCAACATACGACAGAAAGTTTTGATTACAGAGACATAAAAGAACAAATACAAATTCTTATCTGAAAAAGTTACATTGGCCTTTCTCAGCCCTCCCATCCTCCCACCTGATATCTGACTTTAATTTTGCTTATCTGTGGTGTAATTCCCTCTCAAATGTAAGACACTTTTCTGAGCTAGGAAACTTAAAAGGTGATTTACACTACTTATATTTAAGGGGCTGATTTTAAAATTGCAAGTTGAAAGGGTTCCCACTGACCACTGGATTTTGTTTACAGCAGAAATGCTACCCACAGAGAGGTTCTGCTGTGATGAAAATAAGCTTATATCTTTTTCATTAATTCTCTAGATTCTCTTCATTCTCTTTCATTAATGCTCTATATTCGTGTGGACAAGTTAAGCTGCTGTCCCAAGTGAATATTTTTAATGATCTCTCTGGAGTGTTTGAAAGCTTTGTCCCACATGCATGATTCACAGTGAAATGCACAAACTCCATCTTTGAGGCAACTCTATCATTGTACCTTTGGTATATAATGTTTGTATTTGCATTTCCATTGTTCTTACATGCTGAGCTTCACCATACCCAAAGGAGAGCTTCTTATACTTCAGAGAAAGCATTTTAAGACAAATGTTTACTATAATAAGTCAGCCTAAAGTGCATACAATTCAAATATGAGAAATCTGCACTAAAATACAAGGGTCTGAATATCAAACTGACTTTCCATTGTAATGATCAGGTACTATTTTCAAAATGCACTTGTGCAAGAGTATCACTTAGGGGAGTGCCAGTCTACTTTTCATGATTCCTGAGGTAGATTTTATACATCTAATACAGTCATGTCTCAGTAATCAACCTAAAAATGAAATCTTGAGGCATGTGTTAAATATTTTTTTGGTTTTGTTTTATGGCTTCAAGGAAAACTGGTGGTGAGAATGGCATTGAAATATAAACGATGCTAAAACAAAGGGCATCTTCTGATCAGACAAACAACCGTAACTCTTAGCCAGCCATTTTATGGTGGATTGGTCTCAAGATGTTAAATGGCTCTTGGACACCCCTTGCTGGGATTCTTTAGAATGAATTTTACTTTCACAAACCTCTAATTCCTATAATTAAGTTCCAATGTGCGGTTTTTGCAAATAGTCTTGCCTCTAGAGGACAGATGGATATAAGCTTTAGAGACTCGGTTTCACAAAATATAACTGCCAGTGGTTTTCTTGCTACTGTTCCAGCTGGCCCCAGAACATTCACACTGGTTCAGCTTTCTAACGATCTCTTGTTTTTACTTATCTCCACAGTTTTAACAGCGTACGTCAAGGAACACACATTTTGTTCCGTGAGTTCAGCTTTGTCCAAGCTACCCCTCATAACAGGGCATCTTTTCTTCGGACTTTTTGGAGATGTTTCCGAACAGTGGGGAAAAATGGAGGCAAGTATTCCAGTACCATTACGTTGATATCAAAATTGTTAGCTACACTACTGGTGCTGCACAAATGCTGACACTGCGCGCTGATCTAATACACTGATTCTGTTAAAAGGCATCATCACCATAGTGGCCTGTGGAATAAAAAAAAAAAAAAAAAAAAAGTGCCCACAGCATAAATTAACATAGGAGCACCTTGTTGCCAGTGTTTCTTCTACTGCAGAACAGCTCATCAAGCAGTAACAGAGCAGAGGGAGTACATCTGTGGTCCTATGCATGAGGACACAAAGGAGAAAATACAAGTTCTGGGGGTCGGATGGGACTCAGATAGCAGCTCTGGAGATAGTTTGAATGTAGACTATGAAGCATGAGATGCTGCTATTACAAGGCAGATGGGGTGCTGAGTTCTTTGGCTAGGAGCTCTGTGTGATATACAGGGTACAGCATTGTTGGGCTGAACATGGGCACCTAAGCTGTGTCTGAGCTAGTTCTGGCACATTTCTTAGATGACATTACAGGAACCTGGTGGTTGTGGAATGGGGACCACTGACAGCTGGGTGACCTTCCCAGCCTCAGCCACAAGGAAAAAGGTTCAATGCCAAAATAACTATTCAGCACTGTGCTATCTTGTCTAGCTATTCTTATACTGCACACACTAGAGTAGGTATTGAAGAACTGGCCAGAGTACAAAATAAACTCATGTAACTGCATGCAACTAAAATTAAGTTTTGGCTTAGTCTTTAAGTTCAGAATTTTAAGCAAACATAATGAATGTTGCTGTACAAATGCGGATTTCAGTGGTTTGAGTTCATTCTGTTGTTTTTTGTTTTTTGTTTTTTTCACAATCAGTCTCACTTGTTTCAAGATATTCTACCTCACTTCTTGTTGCAGGGAAGACTAGAGATAAATCTACAGATAAATCCTTAACTTTTGGCTAAGTTTTGCAAGACTTCTGCTTTTGATGAACAGAGTTTCCAAGATTATAAATAGGGAGATGGCTTTTTTGACACATGCTATTTTAAATCCTTTGAAATTTGACAGTTATAGCTAAACGTGGCAAAATAATTAGGTACTGAAGCAATTGGGTACACTGTCTGTAATATTGTCTTACTAGTGACAGTTACTCTGTTGTGTTCTAAATCAAATATATTGGTTCAGGGATAGCATTTTTAAGGCATTGTGTAAATTGTATGGTACTAATCTATTGAGTATGCAGTGAAGACATCTATGATATAAAGTCAGATCATTATCAGGAAAAACAGAGTGTAGATTCCTGGAACACGGTTACACCATAGAACTGAGAGATGATAATAAGAAAGTCATCCAGCAGAACTGCAGCTTTCAGTGGTGAATGTTGCCAATAACTTGAGAAGAAGCTATCTGCTGGAAGGTACTCAATCAACGTTCAATGCAAATTTTCGACAAGCTTTGTCTGTCTAACATTTAACCTTCACTGGGTCATCTTCATTTGTCAGAACCAAAAAGTTTTGGCTACATAATGCGCCGATTTTCTATTACTTTTAGCAATTGTATGTAAATACAGAAAAGGGCTGGGTGAAAATGGAATCACCAAGGTACTTTGCGAGGGAATGGGGGAATCTTAAGAAAAAAAAAGCTTAGATGAATGCTACTCTATTGTGGTTCTGGTCTTCAAAGAGTTCAGGATATGTTTTTCTGACTTCAAACTTGAGTGGCTGCACTTCTTGATCTGAGCAAATGTGGCATGTTTACCTGTACATTTACATGCTTTCTTCCTATGTTAACTGGAGACAGAAATGTGCAGCTTCAGAGAACTTGCTGACAAACTTTAAGCCATTCAGTCTAATTTCTTCTTGTTCTCTAGCAGTAATTACAGTCTAGAACTTTGTTTTTATTCATTTTAGTTTCATTTGCTCTGAGATTTTTATCCCTAATGAATCACATTAACTTCTTAGTGGAATTTCTCAGTATGTCTGCAATTAAAATATTTCTGCTGTATTTGCACAACAGGAGAACTCAGAACATCCATGTTATTTTAAGTGCTAAACTCAATTTACTAAGAAGTTGCCACCAAAACAGTGCAACATGATGGATGAAAGATGATCATTGCCATCCCAAGGCATAGATTAGACCTGGATTTACTTCTTTTAAATACTTTCTTTTTGGGTGAATGAAGTAAGCAATAATGTTATGCAACAAATGGTAGCAACCAGAATTGAGATCATTAGTGTTTTAAATGACAAAATGTCTCCTTATGAGAGGAAAAAATCAAACTAAGTGATGCCCAAAGCAAGTGAGACTTTCAACTTGGAGCTTTCTTTAGAAGAAGGAATGGTGGTATGTCTTTTAATTAGATTATTCCAGAAGTTAGTTTTGTTTTGGTTTGTTTTTTTATGATCACTGAACTAGAACACAGGACCATATGAACATATAAAAAATAGTTATTTTTGATGAGCTTGCGTAGAATCATAGTTCTGTCTGTAGACAGTTTGTTGCTGTAGCATCTTATTTTATGTTGATAGAATTATGACAGTTTTAATATCATTATGTGCAGGAAGTAGAAAAGTTAGAGTCCTGCTAGGATTAACATCAACAGAATTTCCTATACCATACAATCTCTTCAGCTTGATAGGTTTTAGTTACATTTTTACTCATATTGGAGACTGGATTTATAATTATTTTATTTATTTATTTATAAATAAATAAATAAATGTATTTATAAATGTATTTATAAAATAAATATTATATGTTTATTTATAATTATTTTGTGTCAAAATACCAAGGAAAAGTCTCTGGCTTCACTAAGTATGTTGGTAGCATAATAAGCTTAAAAAAATAAAGAAAATTTTTAGGAAAAAAAAAAAAGAAGGTGATACACTGGATCTATTATTTTATTTTTTTATTTTTTTACTTTTTTCCTTTTTTTGAAGCTCAGCAAGGTGCAGAGTTCTGTTTTCAAGTATGTTTAAGCATATGTTTATGCATATCTGGGATTCCATGCGGGGGGGGAAATACAATTGAGTTTATTTTAGAATGCGATCCACTGTTAAGAAACTGTTGAGGACTTCAGAAAATTTCTTGCATTCTATAAACACTTAACAATGATTTGCAACACTCATAGAGGTGGTTAGAGGACAGCTAGTTTGTGTGTTCAGAAACATAGAGCATAATGCTTGGTTAGCAACAGATTTCTCCCAGAGGAAGGTAAAATGACCAGAAGTCTTGTTTTCCTTCTGCTTATGCTTAAATTGACCTCTTGGAATCTAGCTGACCTGCTCTTTTGAATTGTCTGTTCTTCAGGACTCTTTAATTAAAACTGTGCTTTCTCAGTTTAAACAGCCCCTGCAGAGTTCTGCTGTAAAGCTTCATAAGGTCAACATATGCCTCTCCCAACCCCCTTGGCTTTCATGTCTTGTTGGTTCTGTTTTTAATTAAAAAGATTTTTTCTTAAATGCTTTCCAGCCAATTAAAGATATTTTGCACTGAGAAACTTGTTCCAGGCCTGATATATTGAGAAGCAAACAGAAAGCTCAGACTGAACCAGTGGTACTTTTTTTTTTTCTTTTTCTTTTCTTTTTTTCCTAGAGCCCCAGCTTTCTTCGGTACTTTTCAATGGCTTTTCTCTTTTTTTCTCCCCTTTCTTTCTCCTCTTTTCTTTCTCTATTTTTAGCAGCTATTTAAAATTGCATCTAGGAAAAATAGCTGTGGCTTGATACCTTAGATATAGTTCTGGAATGGTTCAGCACCAGATACAGGATCAGGAGTGGTTGTTACTTTATGTAGGTGCACGCAGCACCAAAGCATAGAAGTGCTACAGAAAAGTATGTTGGAATGTATTGGTTAGGGAACATTTTGGCAGGCCATTACATCCCCTTCAGGCAAAAAGTGCTGCTACTGTATCAAAACAAAATCTTATATACTTGTTTCTTGTTTCATGTTCATCACATGGCATAATGGTTGAGGTTCTGAAACCCTTTTCTTTGTCAGTGTTAGCCTAGCTCTGCGTATGTAATTCCTCATTTTAAATTGTTCCTTTTCCTTTTTTTTATTCTCTCTCTTTTAAGCTGGCAGAATCCTCTGTCTTTTCTTTTTTTGTTACTAAAAGCAAATCAGATCTTTACATACTGTTACTGTAGGAAAGTTTTTATTAATCAGTAATATCAGTATCTGAAATGATTGATCTCCAGCCTTTGTTCACTTAGTAGTTTCACTGCCCTGCAACTGTGGCTGTTACTGTTTATGATTTGTTGATGCAGCTATGTCTGGAACCACAGATGAATTCGGAATATCAGGTCAAAGAATTTCTGAAATTGAGGAGAAATAAGTAGATTGTGTAACAGACATGGTGAGGTATATCTGCAGGTATTATAAGTTAAAACATCTGCATTGCACAATGAAATGGGCTGCAGTAATCACTGTAGAAGTAGTAGCACATGGGTCAGTGATCATGTCTTCATTCAACCTCTTCCTGAATTTAGTCTATACCGTTTTATCTGTGCTGTTTCTGGAATTCACTATGGTACAGCAGAAAGGTTCATTATTGAATCTGTTTCCTCATCCCCAGTATTGCATTTTATTTTTAACTGTCTGTCTGAACATGCAGCAGCTCATCTTAATTTCCAAATGTTTTTTTTTCAACTTCATAACTTCATATTCTAAATTTATATCTCTTCAATGCTTTTAATGCTTTTTTGGGGGGTTGGGGGGAACAATAAGTTTATCTGTTTTTATAAAAATTTTCTGGTTATTTGTTCATCTGACAGTTTTTCACTGGTTATTATGTCACTGGCAAATTGAATTAATATGTTCTTTATCTTTTGTTCCACTAGAGTGAAACATTTAAATGAGCTTATACTCAGTGATCATTGTTGCATTCTGCTAAGCAATTATCCAAAATTCAACTGGCAATTATTATGACCATTTGCTTTGCAGCCTTTTGGCAAGTTGCCCACCCCTATGACAGAATCCTTATTCAAACCAACTGAAATGGATTTTTTCAATTAAGTTGCTTAAGACTTTTAGATTCC